TTTTTTTTTTTATTTCGTTTTTTTTTGTTTTTAAGAAATTTAATGGTTTGAATATTGAACGTTTAATTAATGAAATACCGATGATTAAAAATGATTTTGAATTATTAAGTAATGAAAATCAATGGTTAATGGGACTTATTGATGGAATTAATACAGAAGAAATATCACCAAAAGAGATTTATATATTATTTATGAATTTTACAAGTCATTTTCCAGAATTTCAAAGATTAGAATCAAAGTAGAAAGAAAAAAAAACGATTTTTTGAATTTTAAGTTTAATTATTTTTTCATTTTATAGTGTTTCACATCTTATTGAAAAATATTTTTGGGCTTTACCAAATGAATCAATGCAGTATTTGGTTTTATCTATTGTTGATGGTCTTGAAATTATACATAATTTGACTATTTTATTACAAGATAGTTTAAAAGGATGTGAGTCAGCAAAAAAAGAAAAAAGAAAATTAAACATTTCAATAAATTATTTATTTTTTTTTATTTTCTATTTTTAGTACCTATGAAAGATATATTTAGAAATTTTACATTTATTACTAATAAACTAATGCGAGACTATGGCTTTTCTAATTCAACAATTGAACTTTTTAAACAATCTCGTTTATTCAAAGATCCAGTGGTAAGTTTATTATTTGTTTACATATTAAATTTAATTTATTACTTTTTTTTTTTATTCTTTTTTAGATTTTATTTAATCTATATTCTGAATATCGGCAAACTGTATGTGATGTTAATTTATTAAATAGAACAATTTATAAAGTTTGGCCATATTTACAATTTAATTCAAATATGAGTATAGAAGAATTATCACAATATGCATGTAATATGTCATTAGAAAATCAAAGTAAAGTTATTAATATAATATTTAAACATTTTCTTCTACCAGATAAATTACAAATGGTAAAAAAAAAAGAATATTTTCAATTGATTGAATGTATTTTTTTTTTCATTTTTTTTTTTTCATTAAGTTTTATAAAAGTGGTGGACATCATATTGCTAATTTATTTAATATGGATGAAAAAGAAGTTGATGTTTTTAAACAAGTTGGTCCTATTGTAAAAGATGTTAATGAATTATTAAAACGTGTTAAAAGATTAAATCAACAAATTGATTCATCACAAAGTAAGATAATAATTTATGAATTCTGTTTGTTTTTTTTTATAGTTTTATTATTTAAAAATATTTTAGACCAAGATCAATTTACAAAAATAACAAATATATTTTGTGCTGAAATTGATAAACCATCAAATCCACAAAGACAAGTTGCTGATGAAGAAAATTTTTTTGAACAAATTAAAGATGTATTAACAAAAACAAATCAATCCGAATCATCACGTCAACAAACTTCAGAATCAATTCAAGAAGGTAAAATAATGAAAATAACTTTATTTAAAAAAAAAACCTAAATAGTTTATTTTATGTTTATAGATGATAGTGTTGATTGTTCAGATATACGAAGAACTATTGAACAAAGTAGTGATGTTGGTTATATTGTTTGGCCATTGATTAAACCATTACTTCTTGGAAAAATTTTATATGCACCTGCAACACCAGTTTCTAATGCAATTATTGCAAAGGTAAATTTTTAATTTTTCAGTAGTATTAATCGATTGTTTAAGGTTAAAATGAAAAATCATTCGAGTGGCTTGTATTTTGATGTAACAAAGTGTTGAGACCAAAGTTGAATTAACCCATAATTCAATTTCAATAGAGTCCTTAAGATGCCATCAGAATCATATTCAGATTCGATCAGATCCTACAGTTAGACTCAATCGGAAGAGAATATAATCAATTAATTCTTACAGAAGTTTCGTCTAAATATGATTGTTTGTATTCCTATTGGATTTTTGTTGAGAATTTCGACCACTGAGTTCGTCTCAAATTACTCACCTTTATGCAATTATTAGACAATCAATTAATACAAACGATGTTGAGAATTTTGATTAACAAACAAAAAAAACCGCACAGAATGAAATTTCAATTCAAATTTTTTTTCCCTTGTCAATATAACTCGGCCAAATAATCTTTAATAGGAAAATTCGCACTTTCCGATTACAAACAAATTTGAATAGATCTTAATTCGAACTACTAAAAACCAATTTTAGCTTCTTTGAATATAATAAATCTTTAGTCTTTTATTAGTAGAACAAGCTAAGACACACCAATATATCATAAAGAAACTTTCAGTTAAAGATGTGCAGGATAAAAGTTAGAAAATTTTACTCACAAAAGATCTCCCCAGACATTTCCTTTCAATTTCAACGAATTTTTTTTTTTGCCAGAGATACTACATAGTGTTCTAATAAAAAACCTAAAATGATTGGGGTTCCTATTGAGATTTGGCTAAACTATCGAATTTTTTTCTAGAGGTCTCAAGTTTTCGAAAAACTCACATTTTTGAAATTTGATTTGAAACTTTGTGTATGTAGAGAACTCAACAAGACTAGCTTCTATAGAAAAATTCAGAAGTTTTGAATGAAAATCTTTTCGAGATATGAAACTTTTAAAAAAGTTGTTCATGCGATCCCTGGAGGGAATTTAAATGTAAAACATGATGTAGCTGTTGTTGCTAATCACAAGGAAATCTATATGTTTAAAGTCTCATATAGGAATAAAATTAACACAATGAAATCTTCACTTTTACTCTTTAAAAATTGTACAAGTCTATCTCAAAAATCCTATGAAGAATTTACTTTCTATAACACAATCTTATAATGAACATCAATCGAAATATTTCGATGTAAAAAAAAAACAAAATATTTTCTTATAGGTCAACAAAACCTTTGAAGAATTAGATAAAATTCATCAATTTGCCAAAGCTTGGGTTAAATCTTCACTTAATTTAACAGTTTTATTTGGTGATCTACAAAATACCAATAATATTAAAGTAAAAAGAAAAAATTTATCTAAATCAATCTTACTTTTATTATTATTATTATAAATTGTTTCTAGAAAGTTTTATCAAATCGTTTATTTCAAGAATTATTTAATAATATAATTGGAATAAATACATTTGATATGGAATCAATAATATCAATGTTACAAAATTTTAGTGGTGGAACAAATACTGATGTTTTAAAAAATATTGAAATGATTATGAAACAATTTAGTGATTATTTACCATGTATTGAATTAAATCGTTTTGAAGCACTTCAATCCGAAAATGAACTTGTTGAACGTGCTAAAGAATTACATCGAAATCGAATGGTTATTGCTGGTAACAAAAACAAAAAAAAAAAGAAATTTCTTTGAAAAATAATTTATGTATGATGTTTTTTTTTTTTCGTGTCTTAGGAATTGTTTTTACAAATTTAAATAGTTCAAATCCAAATGCTAATTTTCTTCCACCACATATTCAAATTAAAATTCGTATGGATGTTGATAGTGTACGAACAACAGAACAATTAACAAGTTGGTTATTTTTTCCTGGTCCAGAAAATGATTATTTTCGTGAAATGCATTATTTACGAGGATTTGTACAAATACAAGATTTAATTGAACGTGCTGTTATTGATTTACATTTTGAAGATAATGGTAAAATACCAACAAATCCTGTTGTTTATATGCAATTAATGCCATATCCATGTTATCGTGGTGATCCGTAAGTTGAATTTTATTTGTTTGTTTATTTAATGTTTTATTTTATTTTAATTTAGTGGAAAAGAATCATCGTATGTTAATTATTTTATTTTACCAATTTTGGGAACATTAATGTGGACAGGTAAATAATTTAGTTTTATATTTAAATATAATTATTTTTATTTTTATTTTTGAAAAATATTTAGCAACATTAGGTGTATCAATAAAAAATTTAATGCGTGAACGTGAAAGAAATGTTGAACAAGTATTGATTGAAATTTCTTTTTTTTATTTTTCTTTGAAATTCACTTTATTCTTGTTTAGACAATGAAAATTATGGGTCTTAATTCAACTGTAAATTTTATTTCTTGGTTAATTAGTTCATATATACCAATGTTTTTTGTATCAATTATTGTTGCTGGTAAACTATCGAAAAACAAAAAAATTTTGATTTTTTTTTTCAAATAAACTTTTATATTTTAGTTGTTCTTAAATATGGTGGAATTTTTCCAGCAACAGAACTTACTGTAACAATAACACCATTACTTACTCTTGCTCTGTCAGCATTAATGCTTGGGTTTGTATAAATTTTATAACTAAAAATAATGAAGATTCTCAAAATCATTTTGACATAATGATAAGCTACAGTGTCGAAAGTGTTTTTGAAGGCTTATCATAAAATATATAATTGTATTTATTCTCCTATCGTTATTGATTGGCCTTGGTGTTGATCCCGGGTCCGCTTAAAAATAATTTAGTCTCGATCCCACCGAGATCGGCATCATCTTGTCCATATCTAGTACGGAGATCGAAGCTATGAGTATTTATTGAATCAATGAACTACGAACTTAGTCTTTAGAAATTTATGTTTGTCTGCTATTGTAACATCTATTAGAGGATTTCTAAGAATATTATATTAGATGCAGGGCTCTCGATAATTTTTAGAAAGATAATAGGAGGTTTTCTGTCTAGCAGGAAGTGACTGAGAAAGCCAGCCTTCTTAAATTTTGCAAACACGATGTAAAAAAGAGGGTGAGTATGAGATTACTTGAGATATGTTTGAATTTTACCTACATCAGTTTGAACAAAGTTTTAGTTAATTATCAATTCTATTCTCGAATAAAATGATTGATTATTTTTTAATTTAATTATTGATCTTTTAGGTATTTAATTAGTGCTTTTTTTACCAAAGCAAATTTAGCAACATTATGTGGCATTTTAATTTATTTTATTTCTTATCTACCTTTTATTCTTGTTATGTTTCTCGAAGCTAAAATGCAATTAATTCATAAAATATTAATTGTAAGTTCATTAAAATAATTTTTCTTGTTTTTTTTTTATTTATTTATTTTCAAATATTCTTCTCAAATTCATCATATAGAATTTATCAAGTGCAACAGCATTTGGTTATGCATCAATATATTTAACACGTTTAGAATATCAAGGTGAAGGTATTCAATGGAATACAGTTTTTAAAAATATATTTCCTAATGATCAAATGAATTTCGGTATTGCTTGTATAATGATGTTAGTAGATGCAATTATTTATTGTCTTATTGGTAATTATATTCGTTCAGTATTACCGGGTAAAAATGCTCTTAGAAAACCATTTTGGTATCCATGTTTACCATCAACATGGTGTTTTTGTAAGAAATCAAATCGTCATGATGGATTAAATTCAACATTTCGTAGTCAACGTGAACATGAACCAAATCCATTTACTGCTCGAATGAAACGTAAGAAAAGACGACTTTAAACATGATCTAAAAGGAGTGTTGAAATATAAGGAAGAATATCCCTACCTTGCAGTATGAGATGCTGTCTAGCAGCAGCCTGATATCTTCGCTATAACTATAATACTAGCTATAGTTCGAGACAGAAGATCAGCCTAACGCAGAGTTTTTGTGCTCCCCATACACACTAACTAACCATCCGAGTAAGTTAATATTACAATACAGCCAGTATACTATCGGACAGGTGATCCGAGACAAACGTGCAGGGTCATTGCATACCTCGTGGTACTGAGAATTGAACCTAGTACCTAGTAGCTACATGCCGAATAATGCAGCCACTCAGCTATGGCAGCCCATAAGAGTAGAATTTTGGATCTTCCTCATAGACAGTGGCGTAACCGGGAGACCATGGGTGATAGGACAGTGCCCTACAATCTTGTGGGTATTCAACCTCCGAAGAATAATACTGAAAGTTGTTCTTTTATTTTTCATTTGTAGAAATCGATCCAAATAATGAACAAGAACCGACAAATTTACAAGTTGGTATATCATTTGAAAATTTATCAAAACAATTTGGAGAAAATAAAAAGGCTGTTGAAAATTTATCATTAAAACTTTATGAAAATCAAATAACAGCTTTACTTGGACATAATGGTGCTGGAAAAGTAATACATATGTTCTTTTTTTTTCTTGAAATAAAATAAACGAATAATCTTGTTTTTTTTTTTCATTTATTTTTAGACAACAACAATTAGTGTTTTAACTGGAATTTATCCTCCAACAAATGGTTCAGCAAGTATTTATGGACAAGATATAACAACAGACTATGATCAAATAAGAAAAAATGTTGGTTTATGTCCACAAGAAGATATTCTATTTGATTTTATGACTGTTCGAGAACATCTACAATTTTATGGTCGTTTAAAAGGAAATATGAGTTCAAAAGAATTAGATAGAGATATAAATGAGTATGTTTAATTACATCAAAAAAATAAATATATTTTTTTATTTTCTTATTTAGACTTTTAAGTAGTATGGGTTTATGGATATTTCAACATGAACCTGTTTCATCATTATCTGGTGGTGTAAGACGACGTGTTGCTGTTAGTATTGCATTTGTAGCTGGTTCACGAACAGTTATTCTTGATGAACCAACATCAGGTGTTGATCCATGTGCAAGAAGAAGTATTTGGGAAGTTATATTTAAACATAGAACTGGTAGAACGATATTATTAACAACACATTATTTAGATGAAGCTGATACTTTAAGTGATCGAATTGCTATTATTCATCAAGGTTAGTTTTTATTTTGTTAGATGATTAAATCTAAATAAAGGAAGGTCGAATAATATTTTTGAATATATTTGATAAAAAAAAACTGAATGAAACAGAAGTCTTCTTCATATATAGATCTGTTTTTTGCAATTGTAGTCTATGTAAGAAAGTGCAACTTCAGTTTACTGACCACTGAGTCAGTGTAGATAGTGCACACTGAAGTGTTGAAAGATACTACTACAAAAAAAGGGGCATATTTGATAGAGTTATTGTCTCAATGTTGCAGCGAAACTATCTTTTTTTTTCATTATTTAGGTCGATTATTATGTAGTGGTTCATCAATGTTCTTAAAAAAACGTTTTGGTAAAGGTTATAGTTTAACAGTTGATTTAAAACTTCGAGTACAAAATAAAATAAAAATTGTTGGTAAGTAAAACACAACCATATATATATATACATATAAATTCTCTTATTATTATCTAATATTTTATTTTGTACAGAAAGTAAACAATTCAAAGATTTTAATACATTTATATTACAAGAAATGCCTGATGCAACATTACGTGAACATATTGGTACTGAAGTAACATATTCATTTAAACATGAACAACGACATAAATTTGCACGATTATTTAAACAAATTGAAATTAATAAAGAACGATTAGCTGTAGGAAATTATGGTTTATCAGATACAACACTTGAAGAGGTTTGCTTTTTATTTATTTTTTTAATAAAGAATTTATTAAATAATGAATAAATGTTTTTTTTTAAAGGTTTTTCTATGGGTAACAGAATTAGCTGATCAAGGAAAAATGGATGATTTAAGTGAAAATTCGACTGTACCAAAAATTGTCGTTGAACAAGCACCTATTTCATCATCTCATAGTGATGATAGCGGTCTCGGTGGTGAATCGAATGCAACAATGGATGGTAAGTTATATTTATTAGTTATTGAAAAAAGTATTACAGGATGGATGAATATAAATTTATTTCATCTGAATTTAATCAACGTCTGTATTTAGATTATTGAAAATAAAAGAATACGAATGCTTATCAAATAATTATTTTGAATAATATTAAATTCATTGATTTTAATCAGCAGCTATCGCTGAATATATCAAAATTTTCTAGAGATATTTATGATAGCCTGATTTTTGATAGGTTACCTTAAAAAAGAATTTCGAAAGTTCAATTACAGCATACAGTAAAACCTCTCTCTAATGTAGGTAACATCAGGGTTAATCAAAAGTGTTCACTTTATTGAGATATACATCAGAGATTTCAATAGATTGGACTGAAGAAATCCAACTCATAAGTTATCGATCTTTTACTCGGGCAAGATTTTCTATTCAAAAAAAAATTCGGTCTAGTCCATGAAGATGTCTAATGGTCATTATCGGAAGGTTTTTTTAGTTACAATCGCTTGTTAGCTGAACAAGATGATCTTTTTCTTTTTTTCAACAATTTATTAGTTCAACTATTTTTCATCAGAGTTAAATCAGCACATGTTGATATGTTTTAATATTACTAATTATTAAGCACAAAAAAGACAAGATATTAAATCAAGCACATGTTACTGTTGTCTAATTTTGTTAAAATATCTACAACATATCTATCTACTTTTTCTGTATGTCCCATGATTGTTTATCATAGATAATATAATTTTTATCTCGTACTATGTAAGAAATGTCCTTGGTGGTGCCATCGCAACGGCAGCTTCTTTTTTTAGGAAGATTGTAAACTTGCATGGAATAATTTAGCGTAATGATGAAAGAGATTTTCGAAGAATTTCTCGAAAACTATCGTGGCAGCGGCAGATTTTCAGCTGTGATAGACATCTATGTTCTGTATGTAACTTATGTTACTCACATTATAGAAGTTATCAATGCTCATGGGATCAGAAATAAGTGCCCATTTGTTGAGAAAAAGGAGATGCACATATAGAAAGATTTTTATTGTAAAATAGCCGATGATTATATAATCATATCTTTAAATTCTAAATATTATATCGAAATGAAATAATTTTAAAGACTAAGATTTCTATTTATTATTAATCTTCTTAAAGGTATATCAATGATAAGTGGAAGTAGTGCACAATTACCAACAACATCAAATGCAACATTAAATCCTCCAACAGAATATGCTAGAATACGTGGTCGTAAATTATATTTTCATCAATTTCAAACATTATTATTAAAACGTTTTCATCATACAAAACGTAATTGGAAAGTTTTTCTTTCACATATTCTTCTTCCATTAATATTTGTTGCTATGTCAATGGGTTTTACATTATTACGTCCATCACAAATTGTTCAACGACCATGGTTATTAACACCAGCTATGTATGATCAATCAGCAATGTTTGTTAAGTAAGTTATACATTACATATATATAGATATATTTTTATAAATAGTGCATAAATAGATAAAAAAAAAAAAGAAAAAATTAAATATATAAAGGTGAGAAGAGATCGACTAAAGAAAAAGACATTACGGAATGAATTTGTCTATTGATTGAAATTTAAAAAAGGAAATAATTAATAACAACATTGAAATTGCACAATATATAAATAAATTTAATATTTTTTTTTTTCTAACTTCGCGTTTCATATAAACCACTTTTACCAATATATCGTACCCATTTAACTGTGTCTGAATCCGAATAATTAAGTTTATGTTCAAATACTTTAAGATATCGTACTTTAAAACCTGATGGTGCAAATGGTACTTCAAAATTCATTGATATTGGTGGACGATTCCATTTTTTTTTATCATTTGGTAATAATTCAATTTCAGCACTTAATTGTGATTCTTTCATACCACCCATACGTTTCATTTTCCATACAATAGCATTATCAGATGATTTATATTTAGCTTTACCTTTCATACATAATAATTGTACATCACATGTATTTGATGGTGTTGGTATACGTATTTCAATTTTTTGTCCAATAAGTGTTGGTTTAAAATTTGATTTAACAACAACTTTAACTTCCATTTTTGTACGACCTATTTCACGTACTAATGGTATAACACGAAATGGTAAACTAATATCTTTTGTTGTTCTATAACGCATTAATTCAAATTCACCATCAGGTGGTATAAATGATATTGAATGTTCAGATTCAAATTTTGATAATTTAACACATTGATGAAATTGACAATCATCAATAGCAATAGCTGTTTTAGTTGTTGTTGTTGATGGATTTGTTGAACCATTTGTTGTTGAATTATTATTTATATTAGTTGAATCTAATGGATTTTTTGTACGATTATCAACTGTTATTTTATCATTAATACCGAATTTACATTCAGGCATACCTGATAAATAACTTTTCATAACAACACGACCAGCAACATGTGTACTTAATACTTGACCTTGTTGTGACATAAGTAAATTAACTGATTCAATAACATCAAGAAATAATTCATTACGACGATATTTAATACCTTCACGTCTCCAACCAATTTGTCCAGTTACAGCTGATGTTACATTTGTTTGTTCTTCACGTGTTATTGGTCGTACACCTTGTTGTGTTATAAATGATTTTAATACACCTGTATCACTATTTTGTGGATAACCAAAATCAAGTATTTCATCCAATAATTCATAAATTAAAACGAAATTATTTTTAATATTTTCTTCACTTATTTTACCAAAATATGATTGCATTATATCAATCATTTTACCTAAAAATTCAAATACCATTGCTGCATTTATATTTTGTTTAGCAACAGCACATAACCATATATTTGAACGTTTTGTATAAAAAAAACTTGTACGAGCTATATTAACAACAGGAAAACGTGATTGTTGTCGTGCATGTATAACATTAACACGAAATGCATCAACAGCATTTCGACCAATATCATCACGATAGACACGCTAGAAACAAAAAAAATTAATAATTTATAATAAAATTAAAAAAAAAACAGAATCGTTTTTTGTTTTTTTTTAATCATACCGAAATGAGTACTTCTCCTTTATGATTATAAATAAAAACTCCACCGATCATCGTTTATCTATTTTAAATGATAAGAAGATGAGATTGAATGAGTTATGTAAAGACAATAAATATTGGATTAATTTCTATTTGATTCCATAAAATACCCTGTTCGAGTCATCTATGCATCTTAGTAATGAAGTTTTTTTTTTCTTGTTATTCTATAATCATTTTTCAGCATATAATTGGTTCTCAGTAATAGAAAATGAGAATTATCGATGAAAATTAATGGATTCCTATAGAGTTTTCTTTTAAGAATGATGACAGAATTCACGACTTTTTTTATTATGGCGCTCTTAACACATTGATAACTTTCATAACGTTGTGCAAATATTTGCGGTTGTATTTTTCTCTGTTCTTCAATTAAACATTACTTGCTCCATAAAACAGATACACTCGTTTGACGCACCACGTTACTGTCTGAATCATTTTTCAATTTTTCGTCTTTTATTTTCTTTTATATACTGCCTTTCGTACGTTACTTTATTTTTCTAAAAGAAAAAAGTAATAAGTATTGTGATGTCGTCTCACTCATTGGAAAAATATAAAAAATTACTTGCAAAGGAGCCACAAGTTAATGATAAATATGTAATTATTGATGTTAAATGGTTGGAACATTGGAAACGCTATGTTGGTATCGAAAAATCAGATGAAGAAAAAGTCACTGAACCAGGTCCAATAGAGTTTTCAAAATTAGTCGATCCAGCAACAGCCAAGAATTCAAATGAAATACAACTTCGTTCAGATGCTGTCGAAGGAAATGATTATACTTTTATTCCATATGAACTCTATAAAGACTTAGTACAGACATATGAACAAAATGGTCCCGAAATAATTCGTAAAGCAATTCCACAAGGTGAATATTCAGCTGTAATTGAAACATTTCTTGTACCATTACGACTTCGTGAATCAAGATCTTCCGATGCTAAAGTAAAACAAATCTATCGTAGTCGTCGAACTAAAATAGAAGAATTAAAAAAGGATATTTGCAATGAATTTCATATTACAGGAAATTCAAACTATAGTTTATATGCATCAACGGATGAAAAAGGCTTAAATTGGAAACTTATTGATGAACGATCAGATTTAACTATTGATGATATTATTTTAACAAGAAATGCATTTATTACATATGAATCCCGAGTAGTATCAGCACATAATGCTTCTTCATCTTCTTCACCAAGAATAAATTATACCCTTGGATCTTCATCAAGAACACATTTCACTCCTGGACTATGTGGTTTATCAAATTTGGGTAACACCTGTTTCATGAATTCAGCTTTACAATGTTTATCAAATGTTCCAGCATTAACAGAATATTTTCTTTCTGATAAATATAAAGAACATATAAATCGTGATAATCCATTAGGAATGAAAGGTGATGTTGCTCTAGCATATGGTGAATTAATACATGAAATATGGTCAGGTAAAACAAATTATTGTGCACCAGCATCTTTGAAGAAAAATGTTGCACGTTATGCACCACAATTTAGTGGTTATGCACAACAAGATTCACAAGAATTTATGTCATTTTTACTTGATGGTTTACATGAAGATTTAAATCATGTTAAACAAAAACCATATGTAGAAAAAAAAGATGATGATGGAAAAGCTGATGATTTAACATTAGCTGATGAACAATGGGATTATTATCGAAAACGAAATCAATCGAAAATTCATGATATATTTCATGGGCAAATAAAATCTATTGTACACTGTCTAACGTGTGGTACAGCAGCACGTACATTTGATCCAATCTGTTTTCTAAGTTTACCATTACCAGGCAAAGGAAAAATACGAACATTTAAAATCGAATTTGTTCGTTTAAATGGACAAATTAAAACTTATGAGATTAAATGTGATGAACATGGTCGTGTACGTAATTTAGTTCAAGAATTTTGTGATCGTTTTCAACAGAAAAAGAAAAAAATTAGTGAAACTGTACCTATGGAGACAGATAATATATCAAAATCCGATGAAATTAATCAAGATGAAGAAGAGGAAGATGAAGAAGAAGATTTTACAAAAGCATCAGATTATGATGGACATCAACCTAAACCAGAATATATTTTAGCTGCTGAAATTTACAATCATCGAATTCATTTACAATATCCAGATAATAATTTGTTAACAAGTATACTTGACCGTGATCAAGTTGTTTTTTATGAAGTACCTGATTCATTAAAAATAGCAGATAGCGAGAAGATTTTAATGCCATGTACTTTTCGAGATGAATATTATCATAACAATTTTGGTTTACCTATTTATCTCAGTGTACCAAGACATAACTGTAAAGGAAGAGATATTCAAGAAGCATTGCAAGTAAATAATATGATACTAAATATCTTCGATAATTATTCATCTATTTAAAATGATTCATTTTTTTTTAGAAAAGAATTGGTGATTTTCTTCCATTACCTTCAACGGAATCATCAGATAAACCATTTTATAATGCTGTATTGATAACTAGTCAAGGTTATGGCCAATCAAATAAATTATTAAAAGCATGTCTTGATGATCATATCGATTTTTCTCGTAAAAGTACATCACTTGTTGTTGATGTTACATCATCAATTGTTGAAAAATATAAAAAACAAGAAGATGAAAAACGTTCCGAAAAAGATCATACTTCATCAATTACTTCTGGTATTCAAACACGTAGTCAACAAAAACGATCAACAACATTACTAGATTGTTTTAAATATTTTACAAAAAAAGAAGTATTATCCGATGATGATCTATGGAAATGTCCAAAATGTAATACATTAAAAAAAGCTACAAAAAAAATTGATTTATGGCTTTTACCAAAAGTTTTAATTGTACAATTAAAACGTTTTAATTATACTCGTTATTTTCGTGATAAAATTGATTTATTAATTGAATGTCCACTACAAAATTTAGATTTATCACAATTTGTTATAAATCCAAATGAAAAAGCGAAAGCAAAATATAATTTAATTGCTGTTAGTAATCATATGGGTGGTTTAGGTGGTGGACATTATACAGCACATGCGAAAAATTCTAATGATAACAAATGGCATACATTTGATGATTCATATGTATCAGATGTTAATGACGATAATGTTATTGGTAAAGCAGCTTATGTTCTTATTTATCAACAACAAGAACAACAATCATAAGAAAACGAATGCGCGAAGAAATGAAAATATCGATTTAATTTCTTTGTGAAAACTCTTATTGTTTTTCTTTTCTTTTCGATAATCTTTTTGCTTCAATTGACCTAAGCAAGAAAAAATTTTCCATATATATTTTGATGTTCTTTCATAGACATTCATCTTTCTTTTTTTTTTTTCTAATATTTATTCCAGAGCAAAATATAACAAGCTTTTTTTTTTTTTAATTTTGTCTTTTTGTTATAGGTCATTCGATGATAATGATCAAATAGCACGAACTCTCGATAATCGTTTGAGAAATAATTCATTTCCAAATATTGGTACAACTTGTATGAAAGATGCACCATTAGCATCAGATAAACAATCATATAAATGTGGAGAAGGTGACAAAAATTTTTATGTACCAACCGATTCAACTAATTACAATAAATATTCAAAATGTTCAGAATGTTATGCAAAGGCATTACAGGTAATAATTTAATGTTTCCTTCATTTCTACTATAGGACGATCCAAAAATTCGAATGAAAAAGAAACACGAAAATCTTATTAACAGTTGAAAGAATTGACTTGAAATTTTTATAAATTTTATTCAGTATATTTTAAACAAAACATATATATATATATATTTATCAATGAGTGAATTTGAGTTATCTATGTTTGTAAAAACGAAAACTGTCCATTGAATTTTATAAGAAAACATTACATAAAGAATTTATCAAAGCTATCTCTCAACACATTTGTGAAACTAACATTACACGTTAGAGCTATTCCAAAAATTTGCTCCAAAATATACTGTATTATGACAGAAATCGGAACTTAGTATTTAAAATATGAGTTCTTTGTATATTCACGATGAAAAGACTTTGTTTCTAGAAACCATTTTTCCTAAGACGTAGATTAAAAGCAGAGATGTTCATCATAGTGATGGCAGCACCGTCATAGACATTTGTGATTTAAAGAAGTTGTTCGATTCAATAACTTCTACGTTTATCGCACTTATCGTTGCTCCAATTTTTTTTTCTATGCAAATATATCAAACACAATGTTGGCGAGATGCTGACTAACATTTGATACTAGTGGATTTATATGTTTTAGTTCTGTAAGATCACTTTGAACTGCGGATGAAAATAAAATTATTCGAAACAAAACCTTAAGAAGCCTTTAACAAAATCATAAATTGTCTCATATAAATTATTTGAACGGTTAACGAGATATTCATATTTCTATTTTGTTTGAACTTTCGAAACACTATATGTTTATCTATCTATATATATAATTAGATTTGTCCAAGCGATTCATTTGGACGACCACCAACACGAAAAACAAAATCTGGCATTGTGGTTTGTGTTAAAATTTTTTTTAGACAATAAACTTCCCATTAATCGTTTTTCAATTCTAGTTGTATGATCTAAATAATTTTACATTGAATGAATATTTACTTAATAGTCATCATGCTTTTACAGATAATCGGTATGAACTATTGTATTTTTTTTTTCTACGTATAGAATAAAGTGATTATTATTTAGTTATGGTGGTTTAACATTTGGAGAACAAATTGAAGATGATTATTTTAATCGAAGTCATGCATTAGTTTGGTTTAATAATAAAGGTACTGTAGATAGTCTTGAAAAAAATAACTAAATAAAACCGTTCTTCTTTTTTAAGGTTATCATGCTTTACCATCATATTTAAATGTAATGAATAATTTAATTCTTCGTTCGAAAATTTCTGATCCAACAATAGCTGGAAAATTTGGTATATCAACATATAGTCATCCATTTACATTAAATAGTGATCTATTATCTCAACAATCTCTTGAACAACGTATATCAGATTTTGGTATTGCAATTACTGTTTTATGTGCATATTCATTTGTACCAGCAGCTGTTATTTTATATCTTGTACGAGAATATGTAACACAAGAAAAACGTTTAATATTTATTTGTGGTGTTAAACCATTAAGTAAAGAATTTTTTTTTCTTTCTCAAAAAAAAAAACAAATTAATTAATTTAAAAATTAAAAATAATATTTGTTTTTTTTTTGTTTTAGTTTATTGGTTATCAACATTTATTTGGGATTTAGTTTATTATTTAATTTTAATTAGTTTAACTATGGCTTTGATAAAAATATTTAATATATCAGCATTTAATTCACGTGTCATGACAACTCAAGCAATATTTTGTTTATTATTTCTATATGGATGGTCATCAATACCATTAGTTTATTGTCTTGTTCGAGTTTTTAAAGATACAAGTACAGCATTTATGGCTGCATTTTGTCTTTGGATGTTTTCTGGTATGCTAACATGTATAGCTGATTTAATGTTAACATTATATGGATGGGTACCTGGTATAGTACGTGTTCAATCGATTTTATCACGTTTTTTTCTTGTATTTCCACCATATTGTCTTGGTTCTGGACTTGTTTATTTAATGCGTAATGAATTAATGGCTGATTTTGGTCGTACAATTGATGCTGATCTTTATGTAAATCCATTTTCATTAAAAATTATTGGTGATCGAATAATAGCAATGATTATAATTGGTTTTATTGGATTAATAGTAACATATGTACTTGATTTAGATCTTCGATTTCCAAATATTTTTTATAAAGTAAAAAAAAAATTTTAAAAAAATGTGAAAATAAAAAGATTTTTGTTTGTTATAGGTTCCAGCACCAGACACAACTATGGATGGAGATGTAATGGAAGAACGACATAGAATATTACATTCCAATGAAACAAATCATGATATATTACAAGCAAAAAGTTTAACAAAAGTTTTTCGACGTGCAACTGGTCAATCATTGTTAGCAGTTGATCATTTATGTTTTGGAATATCTAAAGGTCAATGTTTTGGTTTACTTGGAATAAATGGAGCCGTAAGACGAAATTTTTTTCCTTTTTCTATAGAAAATTTATATAAGTTTTTTTTTCCCCTCATAGGGTAAAACAACAACATTTAAAATGATCACTGGTAATTGAATAAAAATTTTTCTTAATTTGAATTAATATTTGTTTTGTTTTATTTTTTATTTAGGTGATGTTCATCCAACAAGTGGTGATTGTTTTCTATATGAAAAACAAATTCGTACTCAAGCTTATGAATATCCAGGTTCAATTGGTTATTGTCCACAATTTGATGCTGTTGATGGTTATTTAACTAGTCGTGAAGCACTTATGTGTTATGCAAAATTAATTGGTATAGCTGATCGTGAACATGTTGTTAATTTAACATTAAAAAAATTTCATATGGAATCATTTGCTAATCAAATTATACGAACTTATAGTGGAGGAATGAGAAGGTAAGACAAAAAAAGAATAATTTAAAAATTGAAAAAAAAAACAACAAAACAAAAATTCTTTTTAGAAAATTATCAGTAGCTGTGGCTATGTTAGGACAACCAGATTTAATATTATTGGTAAGTTTAATTGATTGTTCATATAAAAAACGAAAAGACTTTATTAATTTGTATTTTAGGATGAACCAACAAATGGAATGGGTAAATAAAAAAAATTTTAAAGAATAAAAAGAATAATATTTAATTAATTTTGTTTAGATCCTGGAAATCGTCGTATCGTTTGGAATAATATAATTAAAGCTAAAAAACAAGATAAAGCTATTTTATTAACATCACATTCAATGGCTGAATGTGATGTTTTATGTTCACGTTTAGCAATTATGGTTAATGGACAATTTAAATGTCTTGGTACATCACAACATTTAAAACATCGTTTTGGTACTGGTTATTATTTAAAATTACGTCTTGAAAATGAATCATCAATACAAATAGCATCAAATATAATTCATCAATATCTTCCAGATTCAAATATGACGGTTTGAAAAAAATAAAATAAAATTTTTCTTTTTTAAATTAATATTGAAAAATGTTTCGTTTTATTGTTTTGTATTCAGGAAAAACATGGCACAAGATTAGAATATAATATTCCAAAAACATATACATTATCAAAAATATTTGGTTTTATTGAAACAAATAAACATCTTATGAATGTTATTGATTATTCACTTTCTCAAACAACACTTGAACATGTATGAAAAAGTATTTTTCTTCTTATTTTGTAAAACACGATTTAAAACAAATGTTGAAATATAGAGTTAAAAAATTTGATTCCCGCTTCCATATAGATCGTGACAGACAATGTTAAATAGGGATGCTAAATAGGATTGATTTCACGATGAAAACATTCCATTGTAGATGGGAACAAAATAGAAATTTATTAAAAATGAACTTTGCTCCGAAAGAAAAACTATCCTTGCTATTTTTCCGTCTGTTTGTAACAATAGAATAATTCGATAACGAAAAAGTATAATGATCTGAAATTTTCAGGCATGAGTCGCCCTAGTGAGAAACACTTCTGGTAAAAATTTCAGATTGATACATCAAACTAGAGTAAAGTTCTAGCTTATTTATAGCCTTTATTTGCTTCCATTCATTTTCTATAATCATTTTAGCGCATATGGTGTTAAAATAAACAAAAAAAATGATACTAAATTTTAGTTTTCTCAATAGAGAAATCAACTGTAAAACATCCGGTTCGGTAAAAGTTTACTCTCATTTTGACCTTTTAAAAAAATTGGTTGTATGTTGAACGGGATGGGAGAAGTTTCAATTTTTCTTATTGAAAGCCATGTTCTGAGAAAAATAGTAAATAACTTTAGATATGAATTTCGTCATTCAAATCTAGCAACAAAAATATATTCATAATATATTCAAATGGAATTTTTAAAGCACACAACAGATGACGTCAGCTAGTATCATCTGTCGTACTTAAATTATATATAAATATTTATTCAATGCTGATGTAAATAAAAAGGCAACTTTCCCAAAACTAAAAAGTTGTAGCAAAAACCACTAAAATTTCTCGAAAAACACGGTGATAGGTTCGAAATATCTTTTGAAAGTCTGTTAAAATTTGGTCTTTTTTTTCGAAAAGTCATATATATTCTAAGAGAGAAGATTTTGCTGCATCTTTTTATGATAAAAACTCAACGTCGGTGTTTTTATTCAAAAGAAAAGCATTCTCTGAGGGCGTCCCTTAAGTAAACATATAAATTAGTTTGAATAATTGCTAGTTTGCTACATTTATTAAAATGTTCATGTAATAGTAGTGCTACATATTCTTTCATAATTCAATGTACCATACTAAGGTGATTATTTCATCATTGGAATTTATTCACCCTAGTTCTACAGCTATTGCCTCTTGACGAGGATATATCGTTTCAGAATAGATTTTATATTTAATGAATTTCCTTTATCTCTTAGACAATAATGAAACGTTTTCAAAATAAAAATATCTCTGTCTAGTAGTTTTTCATCAATTCTATCTTTTGCAATAAGAATTCAATCAAAAACTACATGCTAAAAATGCAGAAAAAATATTACCAAAAGAGAAGTTTTTTATGATCCATCCTGTAGAATAAAGCAATCTCTTCGTGATTAGCAACAGCAGCTACATCATGTTTCACATTTTAATCCTTGAGGAGTTGTGCTAACAACTTTTGTTTATATATATATATATTTTTTTCTTTTATAGGTTTTTCTTCGATTTGCAAGTAAACAACGAGATAATTCTATTGCTAATCTTGAAGATGTTATTATTGATGATACAGCATCAATATCATCATCAACAGTTCATTCATTTGTTCAAACTACTGATAAAGGAAATAATACATATTCACGTCGTTCACCATCATTTACACCAAATCAAAATGATAATTCATCACAAACAGCAGCTGATTTACAAGAATTACCTGTTATTGATAGTTGTACAGATCTTGTACTTAATGTTGATCGTCCACCTTCATCAACATCAAATACATCATCTCAACAAGATGAACATGTCTTTCGTATATAATGAGAGAAAAAAAAAATGACGAAAATAAAATTCTTTTGTTTTTATTTTGTTTGCCAATTTTAATTTAAAATATATGTAAACATTTCAATAAAAGAAAGAAAAAATTTATTGATCATCTTGTTTCACATGTTGATTGATCTTGATCTGTAGAATTATTTGTGGACATTGACGGTGGTTCCATATTTGCATAGATAGCATCTAACATATTTTTATTATCGCCATCCATTACTGGCATTATATTGTCTTCGTTCGAATGTTTTCCTAGTTGAAAAACTAAATAGAATTTTTTTGTTTGCTGTGAGAATGTACATACCATCTTTATCCATTATTTAATGTTTTTGTTGTTAACTATATGAGATAAATATACAATCATCTGTAAACATATGTTGTTTACGCTTGATCGAACTTGTTTTTTTTTCTGTATCAAGATAAACAAGTCAACTGATTGGAAACACCTACATTTATTTATTTTTAATAACGAAAAATTCCAATTATCAATTATTCATGCAGACTATTTGATATAATATAAATGCAAATTTTACTAACGAGAACGAATGTTTGGTTTGAAACTTTATAAAGCAAATCATATGATACAAAATCAATAATAAATCATCGTGTGTACATTTTATGTAATTTCAATCGTTTCATAAAAATTATGAATAAAAATTTTTTTCTCTGGTATAAGTATAACATATTCGATATTATTTTGAAATCTTTTTACATCGGATATCATTTTGTTTAATCAAATCATGGATGTTAATAGTGATAGTGAGAAGCTTTAATATTGAAGCACCTATATGATTAAATAATACTGATAGAGATTTCTGCAATGTTTTATCTGAAATTTTACATGATATAACTAACGTTGATTCTGTAGCAATAAATGGCGAATTTACTGAATTTTTGCCATTTAATAAAATTAGTTATTTTGATATATCAACTGAACAATGTAAACATCATTACGAAGTATAGTGTTTAATATCAATATTGAAGAAATTATTTTATGTTTCGGTGTGATAGATGTAATTTAATAATTTGGATTGGACTTGGGTTAATTCGATGCATAAATCCAACAGAAAATCGGTGAATAGAAAAAATGTTTTTGAATAATTGTTTTATTTAAAAAAATGATTATATTCATAAACAGCATAAACTTCTATTCATATTATGAGAATGAAATAGATGTATTTGATTTATGTTCTAAAGTAAAATTAATAATTTTTCAAAGGTATATTCATTCGAATTTCTTCTTCATACAATATTGATCTTTTGCGTTCTTTTAGGGATTCCTTTTGTTTGTAAAACAGTGTATTTTGAAAAATTGAAATAGCATCAACGAAAATTAACATCTCGTTGCACTAATAATCATCTGATACCCGTAGAATTACAAAAAAAAAAGGAAAAAAATTCATGGTTTTCTTCAATTTTACACGAATAACATGGCATTTCGGATAGCGAAACGGACAAAAAAAAATTAATGTATTTCAATTTCACTGATTAGAATGAAGGTTTTAATGAAGCAAATGCAATGAAAATGATTTTTTATCAAAATCGAGGAATTAAATCGATAAAAATGTCTGTTTCGTCATTTTAATACAATTATTTTGACTTTTTTAGTTCTTCAATACGACATAACAATGCTAATAACAAGTATAAGATATTTCGCTTTTATACAAATACAAAAGAATGAATTGTATTTTCAAAAGAAAATTTGAAGGATCTATGACTACTATTACAATTAATGTCTCATTACAAGTTGCATCGATTCATCTATCCAATGCCAAATTATTTAGCAAGAAAATGACCTGATTTTTTGAAAGTTATTTGGTACCAAAACATACTCTTCTCTATTTTTGTTCATAAGGAAACTATGTACAAGACTTTGGAAATGATGATTTTCATATCAAAAGATCCAAGTCTTTCTTCAGTTTAAAATTGAACGAAGTGATGATGCTTGTTTAGCAGTCAGTATAGAAATCGTTATGAACTATTCGATTGTTTATAGTTGATTCTTAAATCGATTAATAGTTGTCGCTCAGAGATGATGAAAATAATAATAATATTAAATCTTTAGTAAAATAGAGGAACAACACTTGCAACGAGATTTAAATCACATTATTCATAAAATTGTTTCCATCTACAGACTGTTGAGAAGTATTATGGAAAAGAATCTTGGCAATGAATTTGTTCATATTTGTAATAAAAAGAAATAATTTTTTCTTTTAAAAAGCTTAAAGGGCAGCGGTAAACTTGTAACCAAAATCTACTCCATTTGGAAATTATAAGGCAACTCCTATTAATTCTATATGGTTACATAAGTAATTAATTCTACTATTTAGTATAGTAAATTTTCACTAATGTAGTATTTTTTCTACTAACTGGACCATATATATGGTAAGAATATATAGAACATATAAGGTGAAGTACATAGAATAACTTAAGAGTTCAGTATTGTACTATATAAAATCAACCGAAGAATCCACTACTAGATATTATTTGATGAAGTAAAAAATTCTTAGCATAGTATACATGTGGTTTAGAGTACGTTTGTCACAGATACCATCGGATATCTAGCTTGTATACCCTGTTTTTCATTATTCGAATAGCCCTAGTCGAACATCTTGTAAGCAAGATCTTAGCCAAGATACAAGGTACAGAAAAGTGAACAGATCTTGGCAAAATTTAAGTACAAGATAATTATATTATCTTGCATCAATATCTGTAATTAGATCTTGGATACAGATTTATATGATACAATCAGATACGAGAATTCAGTGTTTTTTACCCAAGATCTTGATTTAGTAATATCTACTAAAGATTAATTTTCCTTTGCTCGGAACTAGATCGTGCTAAATGATTCAAGAAAACACGATCTTCCTTGAAGGGTCTTTGTGAAGGCGATTAGTTTGCACATTTTTTTGAATAAAATATTAATCTTTAACTTAGACTCTCGTGTCTGTAGAGAAAATCTGACTTCATATTCAGATTTAGCGTCAAATTTTACCTCGAAAAGACTATTTCAGAAATCTTTAGAGACATCTATATAGGAACTCCATTGGTAATTTTTGTACCACATGTATTTCAGCCAAGATCTTATGAAAATGAACCGGAATTCTCACATAATATACATAAAATAGCTGCATTAGCTTTTCTAAAACCAGATGATGTTGTGAAGGGTTTTGAAGATTTATCAATGGATCTTGACGATGAATATCAAACTGTTCTTGATTATTTTGAAGAAACCTATATTGGTAAGTGATTGGATATCCTCTACTGAAAGTCTTTTATGTAACATTTACATGGCGATTACGCGCTAATCACACACGAAGAAAGCCATTATTTACCATTGACTTCTGGAATATGTTCCATAGAACAACTCAATCATTAATGAGAACGAATAACTCAACAGAGGCCTATCATCGTCGAATTAATTCAATATTTCAATGTTCTCATCCAACACTGTGGGTTTTTCTTCAAAAACTTATTGATGAACAAAATGTTACACATGCTAATGTAGTTCATATAAAATCTGGACAACTACCAAAAAGCAAGAAAAAGAATGAACGTTTTGAAAAACGACTATTACATCTAATTTCAAATCCTCATCAAGATATTCTAACTCAGCTCGACTCAATTGCTAATAATATTTCATTATAATTATTTGTTTATTATTTTTTGTCATAGAATGTAAAGAAATTTATTAATCAGTCAATAGATTGTATCTATATAAGTTTATTTTTTCTTTCGTGCTTAACTTTCCTGTACTCATTTTATCGGTGCTCATTATTCCAGTGCTCAACTTTCCGTACATATCTTTCTGTGCTCATCTTTCCCCGTGCTCAGCTTTCACCAATTCAAGCAGCTTATATACTTGTTTATCAGCAACAACAACAAAGACCATGATAATTGAGAAGCCTATATAATAGGAAATACAACGTCGACTTGAACTCCTATTTATCCGCTGTGTAGCATCCTTGTTTCTTGTTTTGACTTGCGATCAGATACCTTTTTTATCTTTTATTTTCTTTTATTGGCGTATACTTTCTATTCTCATTTCTGAACAAATACAGTTTCTTCTTTTTTTGTAGTACCTAATAAAGAACTCTATGAATATAGTGATGGTGAATAGACTTCTTGTGGGCAGCCTATTATAAATGATAAACTAAACTGGAATATATTCGAAAAGACATAAAAAAATCTCTATGAGTGATAGAAATTAATCTATTTAATGTAAAATAAGAAAAAAAAAGAACAACAATGAAACAGGATTCAATTAATACTTTTTATAAATTAGTTTCAAAATTAAAAAAAGAATGTTGTAAAATTTGTTGAGCACTAGGACGTCGATCTAGATTTATTTGTAAACATTGTTGAAGAATATCACGTAGATGTGGATTATTTGTTGGTGGAATGACTGGATTTTCGATTAATCGGGAAATATGAGACATTTTGTCAAAATTATCCTTAACATGTTCAAATGGTCGATAGCCAAAGACCATTTCGAAAAGAAGAACACCTATGATAGAAATAAAAAAGATTTAAAAAAAAATAAAAATAAAAACTAACCTAATGCCCAAATATCTGATGCTCGACCTTGACGAGAATAATGACCATTTTGAATTTGACATACTTCTGGTGGCATATATTCAGGTGTACCTTAAATATTTTATTATAGTTTAAAATTACAAAAAAAAGAAAATTCAAATATTTCCACCTGCAAATGGTCTTAATACTGATGTTTCTGTTTTTGACATACGAAAAGAAAGACCTAAATCAATAATACGAAGTTGTCCACCAGGTGTCAAAATAAAATTTTCTGGTTTAATATCTAATTAAAAAATTTTGTATAAACAATGATAATTAATTCTAATTATATTTTCTACCTGAATGAACAATTCCATTTCGATGTAGTATTGCAACAGCTTCAACCATTTGAGACCAATAAAATTTTGCTTGTGGTATTGTCATTTTTTTTTCTTTTGGTGATGCTTGTAATGGTAACATAAAACGAAAATCATGGCCAGTTTCCATAACAATTTTACCCGTTTGTGTTTTACTATCATATTCATGATTATAAACTCGAATAACATATGGATTACGTGATTGTAATTTTGTTAAATAACGTATTTCTTTGAAAAACATTTTTGAATGTTCATGCCTATCAATTGGATCAATATTTTGAACTACTTTTATTGCTACGGATTGATTTATTCGAGGATCATATGCTGCATAAACTCGACTATGAAGTCCTTCACCGATTAAACGAATAACTATATATGGAATACCATTAACATGTATTATAGTTGATTGTCGTTGTTGTGTATGAGTAAATGGAATTGATGATGATGTACGTAAAGGATAATTCGGAGTGGGTGTACCAGGTAAAGCTAAAATAAAATAAAATAAATCATCGAAATTTATTTGTTGTTTAGACTTGATTTTGACTATTGAATATTCTTACTAGCATCACATGTTGGTTTGTAGTTGGCTGGAAATGGACGAAAAGCACAAGCAACTCTCATAATTTGATTACTAGGTCTCTCTCTCTGTTATATAATGATGCACAAAAGAGAAGACATGTCTATGTATAATCAAATGTGCTTGTGCCCTTCTCTCTTCTCATTTCATTTTTTCTTACGTACTTCTAAACACATATGTTCACGTTTTCCCTTTTCTTTTCTATGCATACCTTCAATAATGTGTTAATTGGTCGAGCATGAACGATTTGTCTTACACTTTGTCGTGTCAAGGTCAAGGCTGAGTTTTTTTTCTCAACGAAATAGTGCTGTCGCATGTCTGTCCCTATCTCGAGACAACTTGAATAAAAATCGAGACAATATACAATATGTTAATTACCCATTGAGCTGCTTGCCGTCGTTATTCGTTCAAAATATTATTGTCATTCATTCTTTTATAGAAATGTATCGAATACTTATTGCATGTTCAATTGATGTTTATATCGAATGTTCAATTAAATTTTCGTTGATCCATTATTGCTTGCTCTTTTTTTCTTCTGAATATATTGAATTTACGTAAGAATGAAAGGCAAAGTGTAATGTACGAATAAAAGCGTGTAGATATGAACATATTTCATATACAGATAACGTAAGGTATGTATGCATAAAAATCAATGCAGTTGATTTTATTATGATAATAATGTTCACAACGAAAGAAAAATTCAACATAACATATATTGACTCTCCTATAATATATATAATAATTATGTTCTCGAATTTTTTTTCGATATCATTTTATTTATCAGAATTATGATGATGATGATGAAGAAGAAGAAGAAGAAGAAGAAGAAGAAGAAGAAGAAAAGTACATAAAAATATCCCATTTTAAAATAACGAAATGTTCGAGTTTCTTTTGTTAATTAGGATAACCGGATAAATTATTTTCTAAATAAGTTCCATTTAAATTTCAAAAAATAAAAAATAAAAATTGTTCAAGTTCATATCTCTTTAGACCATGATACGTGTTCCAGGTATATATCGTGTATCTTTCCATATATTTGAAGTACCATAATTATTTAAATTACGTTGACATTGAGCACAACGTTTATATTGATCACATTGTTCATGTACAAGAACACCTTGTGGTGCATATTTATGTGTTCTTTCATCTTGATCACGTTTACGTTTTGCATCCAAAGCACTTGACCAATCTGTTTCAAGATCTTTACGTATTGTATATGCACGACGAAATCGTTCACGACGATCAGAGAAAAAGCTAAATGAAAATAAAAAATATAATCATTGAAGAAAATATAAATAAAGCAAAAAAAAAATGAACTATACTCTTCTTTCATATCATCCAATGCTCGTGATTCATATTCTTGTTCACGCATTTGTTTAAGTAATTGTTGTCGTTGTCGTTGTTCAACAACTTCTTTTTGTTGTCGGAAGATTTCCATTGCTTGTAAACGACGTTCTTGTAATTTATCTGTTGACATATCATTGACACCGAAATAAGGTGTAGCAATTTCAGCAGAAGGAATTCCACTTGGTTTATTTCGAACCTATTTTTTAAACAAAAACAAAAATATAAGTCGAAAAAGAAGAAAAAAAAAACAAATTTTACTTGATTATCTAAAGCATTTTTCATTTCTTCTTGATGAAGACGTTTATTTCTCAAATATGTTTCTCGTTCTTGTGTCAATCTGAACAAGAAAAATAATATTAAATGAAAAATACGAACAAAAAAACAAATTTTATCTTTTGTTTTTTTTTAACATACGCTTCAGCTAATTGTATTTGTTCTAAACGTTCAACAAAATTTTTATCTTGTTTTTCGGCATGTTCTTCATCGTGTTTCCATTTTATTTGTGCATCTAATTGTTTAGCTAAATCTTGTTGACGAATATATGTTGGAGGAGTTTGAACACGTTTTCGAAATACAAATGAACGCTAATAAAAAATATTTGATTTTCTTTTTTTTCAATTTGAACTTAGACACTTACTGGAACATCACTCGTTTTTGGTCGTTCCATTTTTTTTGCTCGTGTTGCTTCAGCAATACCCAAATTATACTAAAATAAATCTTACGAGAGAATGTTTTCAACTGACTAATCACTTTCTCGCCAAAAGCTATTGAATCAAAGTTATTGATCATGCTGATTCTATGAAAAATCTCCTTAAGTCTTTATATGCTCATTTTTCAGAATAACAAACTTTTCGTCAAAAACACATTTTGTTCTGTTCAGATTATAGAGCATATCGAATTGCTTAGAAAACCGTAAATTTTTCTGTTTCAAATCGTTCTTCTTAATAGAAACTACAGCCATTTTAATTCATACAACAGGTAAGTAACAATATTCCACTGTGAAAACTTCGACTACTATGAAAACCTTCAAGATGACATTATTTTACTTATAACTCATATTTGACAAATACAAATGATTATTGTCTTATAGGCAACTCGATATGCTCTAAAATTTAACGAAGGAAGTCTACCAACTGTTCAACCACTTTTGAGTCAAGACTATGTACATTATATCGATCCAAATTACCTATGAATACCTTGAAGAGAGTTCACATCCTTAGTTTATTGCTTCGGAGATACTACACTTTTACGGTATTTTTTAAATGAATGCTGTGGTAGCAGAAAAATTGATTTTCAAATTTTGACTTGAAACTTTGCATATAGATAACAGCAACAAGAACTGAAATATTCACAAAAACTATCCTAGTTAAGACCTGTCTCTATGCAAAGCTTCAAGTCGAAATACGAAAATAAATTTTTTCTGGACTATGGCATTTATTTAAAAAATACTGTAAACGTACAGTTGTGAGTAGATCCAAAACGATTTTGACAAAATGTTTGTTAATCTGTAAAACCAGTTTTCGATAAAACCAGCATATAAAGACCTAAGAAGATTACTTAGAGTTATATTCGGAATCAGCATGATCGATAACTCATAATCCAGTAATGCTTTGTGAGAAAGCGAAAAACATTCTTCCGTTAGGTATTTACAGCAGCTATTCTTTGTTTTTCTTCCCGATCAACTTTCATAGCCATCTAAAAATTAAGAAATAAAAATTTATTTTAATAATAAATTATTTTATTTTTTAATATACTTCTCGTTTGTTTTGTTCATCAAGATCTCGATCATGTTGATATTGTTCAAGTAATTTTGCTTCTTCAGCTTCACGAATACGTTTTTCTTCATGTAAATAAATAGGTATATTACGTTTAGCACGTTGATGACATAAATAACAAAGTTCTTGACCAGCACCATAATGTCCGCATGCTGTTGTTGGTTTTGATGCTGTTGGAGAATTTATTTGTTGATATTGTTGAGGATAAACATTTAATGATGATGACATACGATCACGTACACTACGATCAGTTGTTGGGCGTGAAAAACCTAATGCAGCACTATTTTCATTTGTTGCTCGAATAACTATCCCATTTGATTGATTACTAAAAGAAAAAAGATTTAAGTATAAAAAAAAGAATTAAAGAAATATTTAAACATTTGAATAAGTAGCGAGTCGGTGAATATCATCTGTTATTGATATTCTATTTAATAATTGTCTACAAATAAATTTTATTAACATAAATGTATAAAAATAAATCAAAAATAAATTGTACATCTTTTAGTAGATTAGAAAACTGTTATAAAAAATACGTGATTATACTAAGTACTTAAAGATTTACTGATAAAAATATTATGCATCAAGTATTTGAACTAGTAATCAGTAATGTACGTAGGAAAAAACTCTTCAATTGATTATTTAGATAAGATTATTGTCGAAAAAAAACAAAAACCATCTTTTTGAATTTATAAATAAACATTGTGATATTAGTCCTTGCTGATCGTTTTTTTTTTTGAAACGAAATTTACTTCAATTAACGGATGCGCTAGAAATAATGGCTGCGCTTTGCATTTCAATTTTCATTTACTTAATATATTGTATCAATAAAACAAAATATGTCAGGAGACCCAGTGTGAAAAGCTCTACAATTTACATGAGACCATTCATTTTGTACTTGAGTTTTAGGCTTTCAAAATGGGCAAAATTTTGAGCGAATCAATTTCAACCGTGCGAAAATCAGTCGTACAAAATTTTGCGTTTTTTGAATGCAATTACAATAAGCTCTATTGTGTAAATTGTAGAGCTTTTCATGCTGCGTCTCCCGATATATTTTGTTTTATTAATACAACATATTAAGTAAATGAAAATTGAAACGCAAAGTGCGGCCATTATTCCTGGCGTACCCGTTATTTCCTATTACTTTGACGGAAGTAAGAACTTTATCATCTTACTTTTCATACAGAAGCATTATCTATGAGAAACATATTTCATTTTTTAAATAACTTACTTCGTCGTGTTTAATTCTTTGTCTGGTTCATATTGATAGCAAGAAGCAGTTCGTCTCATTGGAATAACAGGGGTTGGTATTCGTTTTGTTGTAGATGGTTGATTGAGATCCAATGATGAAAAAAGTGATGCTATAGGAATAACTCCATCTTGTGAATTTGTTGTTCCTACTGTTGTTACTACATTTGTTGATGGTTGTGTAGTTGTTGTCAAAGAAACTGTTGGTTCTAATAGAAAGTCAGATATATTTGAATAAGTCAATCGCCCAAAAGTTGATTGACAACGAAGAAATTTCTTTTTTTTAAATATTATTCTTCATCACTAAACACAAGTGCAATCAAAAGAAAAATATTTCTTTTTCTCTTGGCTCGATCTGTAATTACATTTTCCGTACAACATTAAGCAGACAATACTTTCTTTTACTCAATTTTGTTTAAATGTCAAACGAACAAAAATCAATCTATTAGTAATGTGGAGAGAGAAAAGAAACTTACATACTACTAAGTGCATAAAACTGTGTGTGTTTTAAAAGTGAATGTTCTACCTCCAAGTGTTTCAATTAGAGGTGGTAATCGTAAATCAACACCTCGAGAATATGAACGACTTAAATCGTTCTTACATGGACTAGGATCTGTATTGAAGAGAGAAGGAATCTTTTTTTTTTTGTCATTAATTAGTCGATATATTTTTTTTCC